AATCGAGTTGCTCGGATAAAACATTATTAAATTTGATATATTTTCAACTGTGATTACTTTTATAACTGGAAACTTAATAGAAGGCTGAGATTCGTAGTACTCGTACACATAGGAGTTAAGTAACAAACAAATTAATGTTTTCACAATTTGTTAATGAAAAAACGTGTCAGAATGCAAATGTAAGTTAACCCCTTTGTCGACTTACCGCTTCTTTAATTTTAATCCTAGCACAATTTTGTTGAAAATTATCACGTATCCTAAGATTTGTCCTAAATTTATGCAATTGTTTTTTTAGAACTAAAGCTATGCATACATACGTTACGTAAACACAAAATTGTATAAGTTCGTTTTTAAATTCAATGTTTTTTTTAGTTTCGACATAACATGTTATCCTTGACATATAAATCGTAATAATATATTTTGTTAATATTTGGTACAATTTAGCTTATACGCATATTATATAAATAGTAAAATTGGCTGATGTAGTATTTAATACTGAAAAATTATTGATACTTGAATAACAGGATTAGAATTTTGAGAAAAAACTTATCAAAAATTTACTGTCCAAGCTTGTATTTCTTGTAATATTTTAATTATTTAACGAATAATATATTTCTATATATCTATGTAAAATTGTGTATAAAGATGCGAACATACATATATATATGCGTATATCTTCCGTAATTACTTTTTGAAACATGTGTTGAATTAAAAAAGAAAAATTCTTTTATTATTCTTATTTTTTAAAAATATTTTTCTTTAAATTTTTAATTAAGTTTAAATTAACATAAAGGTACATAAATATTTTTCTCCCAATATACAAATGTATATATATATATATATATATAGATATATAAAGATCAAAAATAACAACTTTTTTATTATTTAAGTGTGCTTACCCATAAAACTTATTTATATAAATATCCATATACATAAATGCGTACATACATACATGGATAAGTTTTATGTAAATTGTAATAAAAGTAATTTTAGTTAACAAAAAAAAAAAAATTCCCTTAAACATTTATTGCATATACGTAGGCAAATTTATATATGATGTGCTTATGTATATGCTCATATAAACATTGTATGTAGAAGTGTATGTAATTTGAGTAATATAACAGGGTTATTCAATATACTTTGTTTTTTTTTTCCCAAATTTCTAATCTTCAATTAAAAGTTTTAGTTTTTAATTTAATAATGCATTTTTAATTTAAATGAATAATTTAATTGAAAAAAAAACTGCGTGAAATTAAAAATAATTCACTTACATAAAGTTTTTTAAATTAAGATTGAACACAGATTGGATTCAAAAATTAAAAAGAAAAATTTCACTAAAAAATTTCAAAGTTTCATAACACTTTTATTGCGGTTTTTAAATTCAATTCAAACACTTGTACAATTAAATAATCTGATTTTAATAAATTATACCATGTGACAAAATAATTTAATTTAATATTTTGCTGCTTGCTAAAAGTTGATTTGCTATTATTTATGCTTCTCTGTCTAAGAAAATTTATCAAATATTCCCGAAAAAATACATAGTAAAACAATAATGCTCATTGTTGATATTAGATTGTACATTCTTGATATTAGATGGTACCCTACTAGGTTTGGGACACGTCCCTACAACACCATTTCGAGACCAATTCCTCTAATGAATTTGAGTACCTTGAAAGATCCGATAGACCAACTTCTTTACCTGCGGCCAAAAGCTTCACAATTTCTCAGAAGCTGCCCTGAGCTCTTCTCATCCTCCCATAAAATTTGCAAGTGCGCTCACTTTAAGGACCCAACCTCTTAAAATAACACCTATGCCTGAAATGTCTCGTCAAAATACTTATATACTTCATTGACCATTCTTCTTCTTTGAAAATTTAAAAAAATTGAAATTGAAATTGAAAAATTGAATACTGAAAATTTACAATTAATTTACAAATCAGATAGAAAATTTTCTTATACCTATAATGTTTCAAGGGATTTCCATTCTAATCTCATATAAATTGTCAATTATTCTTAAAAATTTTTTAGATTTTTATAAGCAAAGCTAAAAACCTTTATATAAATTTTAACTTCGGTTCAAGCAAATTCTATTACTGAGAGTTCTTGACATACTAACTTGCATATAATAAATCTAATAATTTTGTCCTATAACTGCAAATATTTCAGAGCCCGATACAATTTAGAAATTGCCTGTATATTTTCGTATATATGAAATATAAAACATATAAGTAATATTACAATATAATTATTATGTATGAGGACATAAAAAATATATACAAAAAAATAAAGATTATGAAAACATAAAAGAAAAAAACAAAAAAGTTTTTTGATTGCCAAATTTTATATCGATCCCTTAATGCTCCATTTAATTTTTTAATTATTTTTTCTTCTTTTCTTTTCTTAATAATATTTTCTAAAATAAAAACTAAAAATCCTTAAATTTAAGATAATACAATTTTCTTATTTTCATAAAATACAAAATTTACATATATATACATACAAAAAACAAAAAATTTTAATTATATACACACACACATGCAAACATACACAAATATAATTAATAAATCTTTAATATAAATTTTAATTTTTTAGTTCCCAAATATTTTAATATGTGCATTTATTTTTATATTTTAAATTATAATGTTATCAAATAGCTAAGGAATAATTATAAATTTTCAGAATGAAGAAGATTAAAAAAAAAATTATACCTTTATCCTATAAATACACATAATAAAAAAGGGAAATTTTTTTGTTAGTTTGGTTTTTTTTAAGGATTATCAAAAAAAATAAAAATTATCCTTTAAAAACTTATAATTTTCATGCTTATATTCTCTATAAATATATAAAATTTTGTGTTATTAATAAAAAATATGAAATGTATACTGAAACTTTTCCTATTTCATTAAATATTGTGTAATTTGATGAAAAATTTCTTAATTTCTATTCCAAAATTCCAAAAAATAAAAAGTCAATAGTTTTACTTGGTGTTTTCCATGCTGCTAGAAAATTTAAAATAAAAAATAAATTAATAATAAAAATTCTTTATTATTTTAAATCTCATTAATTATTTGGTATATAATATTTCTGGAAATTTAATATTATAATTACATATGATTACTAAAAGTATTATAAAGTAAAATTTATAAAAGAGAGTCACATACTTTATATATATATGTACATCGTATAAAATATCTTCTCTTGAAGATTCCTTTTTTTATTCTTTTTTTGTATAAAAAATTCAATAAATTTTCAAAAATGCATTACATAGCCATACTAAGTAATCACAATTATGATTACTATAGTTACATTATAAGTAATTAAAGTATAATTACTACTATAGTAATAAAAAATCACATCTGAATTATGATAGTGAAAACAGAAATCTCCTCTTTTTAATCAAATTTCTTTTAGAATTTAGAATTAAAATCGGCACTTTCGCAAATTAGAATTTCATCACTTCTGAAATAATCACGTGAATTACACATTAATCAGTTTAATTTGCAAATTTTTTGTCAAATATTTGATTAATTTAAAATATTGATAATTAAACTAATTCTTGTTAAATTGATTTTATAATTTAATAAAATTTTAATAAAAATCGCTTTTTTTCCCTTTGATTCCTTTTTTTTTTTATATTTTAAATAGATAACACAAAAAAAAATCAAAAAATTGACAATCACTTATGATATGTCAAAAATTTTGTGGTACAATACCGTTACATTTATATTAAAAATGTAGTTGTAAAGTTTACACTAATAAAGTACCTTCAAGTTATGCTTATAATACAGGCTTGTTGTTTTGCAAAAATAATGCTTTACTTACAATTTATTTGCACTTTGGATCATAATTTTGAACTTTTATTAGATGTCATCAATTACTTATTGTCACATAATTTGTTTTTAAATATTCTTCATATTTATTCGGGATTTTTTTCAAATGTCTCCAAAAATATTTTTGCTACAGCCTATTATCATAATATATTCTTGGAATCTGTGAGTTAAAATCTTATTTTCGCTATGAAAATTTTTTTTTTGCTTTTGCATCTATAAGACGTAGTCTTGTATTTGGTTTGCGACTTGGATCATGTGACATTTCTAAATTTATGTTTTATTTGAAAAATGTTTGTCACGAAGGTTTTTTTTTTAAAAAAAAATTCCTACAGTTCTGTGAAAATGCAATTAATAAATAAAAATAATTATTTGAATCACTATTAAAACACAAAAAAAGAAAACCACATCAACAATAATAAATGAGCAAATGTATGAATTCATAAAAATAATGCGGCTTAGGCATGCTAAATTTCATATCTGTCTTCTAAAATTATTAGACAATTGAAAATTATACATTAAATGTGTCCGAAATCTTCCTCTATTAGTTAATTTATTTTGTATATTAAGTAAGTAGTACCCACTTATTTATGAAGTAGGTACACGTCTAGAATCACGAGTGATTATAGTATGACACCAGAATTCAAATCATCAACATAACAAATTGGTTTTCATGTTGTACAACTATATATAAATTTATGTGTGCTCAATTAAATAAGGTTTTTTTTTTTTGCATTTTTCATTATTAACTTTTAAATTAAAAATAAATATCATGTATTACATCCTTGGTTTCTTAGTTAAATTATTTTACACAACATACTTCTGCAGTAAATAAAATTATATTGATTTTTGTTTTTCTTATATATTTTTTAAATGACGTATGCATTACAGTGACGACATTTTGTCCTTATCCAAAAAAAAAAAGACTAAAAATCATTGGTTAAATTATAAATAATTTCGGTGACCGGACATTTATGGAGTCTTAATTTTTTCTTAAATTACCTTCAACAACGATTTATTAATCTCAAGGAAATTATTATGAATTCTACCTTATTTTATATTTTCTTTTATTAATTTAAAATATATTTAATTTTTAGTATATTTTTTAATAAAATATGAATAAAATTTAAAATTAACAAAATTTTTCGTCTTATTTTTGTATACTTTTAGGCTAATTTAAATTGGGCCCAATAATATTCAAAAAAAAACACAGAGGAAGAACAGAAGAAAATCATGATAAAATAAATATAATATCAAAATGATTAGATGAGAAATATTTTGTTGAAAATAAATCTTTTTTGAAATCTTAAACAATTTTTTAATATTAAATAAAAAATTGTTATTTTTATTCTATCGGGATAACATATTAAATATGAATTCACGTCACACATTTTACACCGTTGAGGTGGGTGACACAAAATTCACAATTCTTAGTCGATATCAGAATTTAAAACCAATTGGATCAGGTGCGCAGGGAATAGTTTGGTAAGTTTTTAATTTTAATTTTGATTTTTTAAGTAATTTTGTATATAAGTATTAAGTGTTTCATCGAAAAAAAAATTAAAATTAAAAGTGATTATTAAAAAAAAAGAAATCACAAATTTTTTTCAATCATTATTTTCATAAAAACAATTACATATACACTCTATCTTTCTCTTCTCTCAAATTTAATTTTCGTATTCAGTTTGTAGGTCAAACAATTTAGCTAAAAATTTTTAATGTATTAATATAGAAAGGTTCCTTTTATTCGGAGCCGAATATTTATTTGCGCTTAATTTTTTTTTATTTTATCTTAAATTAAATACAAAATTTTGTATTTAGTATCAAAGCGTGGCGTTCTTAACACCACTTCAGTTAAAATCACCATTGAAACTAAACTGAAAACATTTTAAGATTTTATTCTAAATTTTGAAGTCGAAAATATTTCCACCCGCTTTTTGTTTATGATAAAGACAACAATCCTTTAGAAGGTTATTTACTTATTTCAGAAACGAAAACTTACGACTGACAAGTAACATTTTAATTAAATTCACAATTATTTTAATAGTTTAGTCACAATTATAAGCGATTATGGAAAATCGGATATTAATTGTCAGATTAAATCGAAACATTGAGTAAAAAATCGATCTTATAAATGTTTTTTCTGATACCCTTAATATAACAGTCTGAATTCTAGTAATAATACAACCAAAATAAACCATCTACCAATATAATATATTCTGACTTAAATTTTTATTCTCACTCAATTTTTGATTTCATATCCAAATTGTATTCTCTTATTTTTAGAATAAAATTTTTTCTAAAAACTTATTCCTTTTAATTACATTACTTGGCCTTATTAGAATTTAAAATGTAACTCAACATGCTTTCATTTAACAAAAAAAAAAATCATGTCACTTTTTGACATTTTTGAAAAGTTTTGATGTTTTTGAAAAAATTTGAAAAGTTACTATTTTGACATTTAAAGAGAACAAATTTATTATTACATTTTATTATGAGAGTTCGCGATACCAGCAATATGTTTATTTAATATTTGAGATATATGTACGCATATTTATACCGAAATCCATTTAAAATAACTTACACATGACTTTAAAAGTAAGCGATATAAGCATTTAAATAAGAATTTAAAAAATTCGAAAAGAAATGCTGCCATATTAGATTTAAATAAGTTGTACGAGAACAATTCATGATTACCGGGCGGTGATATTTTTCTTAATTATTTTTCTCTCATTTTTTATTTAAATTATTTTATTTAGTAATTATCTTTTAAATTAAACCTTAATGTACTATAGAATTTATGCCAGTTAATTACATTACAGAATAAGAATTAAGTAAAATGTAGGCTCTCAGTGCATTAGTGGCCTATCGAACATTTTTGCAAAAATAAGTTATTATGCTCAATAGAGTTGTAATGGCCTAAAGAATTGTTCTATATTTTCAAAATACTTAAGTTTACTGCTCTTTTCATTCTCATATTTTGACGGAAGATTGTTTTTGTCTCTTAAAAATTTTCTTAAAAATTAAATATTTAAATATGTCAATGGCAGCTTACTCGAAATGTCATTTTTCCAAGTAGGCCACTAATGTACCGCCTCAAATGAAACCTTGAAACTGAATTTACATTTTTTACATTTTTTTCTTTTTTTGGGTAACTTTTTATTATTTTCCAAATTTTACGAGCAAAACAATTTGCGATTTTCCTTAGCCACTGTTTTTTATTCATAATTTTTAATTTATTTTAAATTCATTAATCATCATAATTTTTACAATTATTAAATAGTTAATTTTTTTTTTTTACTTTCATGCTTTATTTTCAAAAATTTCATGTTTTTTTTATTTTATTCATCATAATTTCATTTTTATTTACATACATACCTACATTCTAATGAAAATATTTTAAATTTATATTTAAAAAAATTTATTTATTTATGAAAAAGGTTGATTTTTTATTTTGTTTTTAATTTTTAATATAAATTTTTTTTTGGTTTTAATTTTAGTTTGTTTTAGTTTTGTTTATCAGTTTCATGGTTGTTAAAAAGAAAATTTAGTCACATAGGCTATGCAATAAAACAAATTAAAATCAGAGTCCTCCCCAGTCTTCATACATATATAAAAATAATAGACAATTCGTTTTCTAAAAAAAAAAAAAGAAAAAAAAATTAATTAAATTACATCTATAACATACTATATATATAAAAATTTGAATAAATATATATTAATATAATATACAAAAATTAAATAAAAATATAAAAAATTAAAAAAATAAAAACAATATGAATCAAGAATTTCAAAGACATGTTTTCGGAGATACAGAATTTATAGTACCATCGCGTTATTCTTCGCTTAGTGCTAGAGGAAGTGGTGCGCAAGGAGCTGTGTGGTGAGTATATTGAAAAAACTTTGGTTATGGGCTCCCCCTACTAATAAAATAATTCCAAAGTTTTCAATAATAAATGAAATTTAATTTAAAAAAAAAAAAAACATTTTCACATCTTATTAAAAATGTTTTCAATTTTAACACTTGCAAGAGAAATAAAAAAAATCCCCCCCAAAAACTTTCAAAAATATTTTTTTTATCAATCACCATTAAAATAAAAATTCTTTTTCTCTCAAATTAAACAACTTGTGCGTTATTTTTACTAATTTTTCTTTTGGTACAAAGGAAAAAAAACAATGGAACTAACTTTTTTTTTCTTTATTATTTTTTTTTTTCCAATAAGGTTTTTACAAAAATATTTTTAATTATAATTTTATATATGTACATTTGTAAAGATTTAATTTGATTAAAAAATAAAAATTATTTATTTTAGTGCCGCTTACGATACTGTTACTGAACAGAATGTGGCTATCAAAAAGCTTTCTCGACCATTCCAAAACGTTACACATGCCAAGAGAGCATATAGGGAATTCAAATTAATGAAATTAGTAAATCATAAAAATGTAAGTATTATTTATGAAATTTAATAAAATTTAATAAAATTTTTTATTTTAAATTAATAATTTTTTAAGATAATCGGTTTATTGAACGCATTTACACCGCAACGCACATTAGAAGAATTTCAGGATGTTTATCTTGTCATGGAATTGATGGATGCTAATTTATGCCAAGTAATTCAAATGGATTTAGATCATGATAGAATGTCATATTTACTTTATCAAATGCTATGCGGAATAAAGCATTTACATTCGGCAGGAATAATACATAGGGTATAATAAATTTTTTTTTAAATGTAATGCAATATTATTATAAATTTATTAATAATTAGGACTTAAAGCCATCCAATATAGTTGTTAAAGCAGATTGTACGTTAAAAATTCTTGATTTTGGATTAGCACGTACAGCTGGTACAACATTTATGATGACACCATATGTGGTTACAAGATATTATAGGGCACCTGAAGTTATTTTAGGAATGGGTTATACTGAAAATGTTGACATTTGGTCAGTAGGTTGTATTATGGGTGAAATGATACGTGGTGGTGTACTATTTCCAGGTACAGATCATATTGATCAATGGAATAAAATTATTGGTATGTTTTTATTTAATAATAATATTTATTAATATAATATATAACAATATATATATATTTTAATTATATATATTAGAACAACTGGGTACACCATCTTCATCATTTATGCAACGTTTACAACCGACAGTAAGAAATTATGTTGAAAACCGGCCAAGATATACTGGATATCCTTTTGAAAGATTATTCCCAGATGTATTATTTCCAAGTGATGCTACTGAACAAAGTAGGCGAAAGGCTTCTGAGGCTCGTGATTTATTAAGTCGAATGCTAGTCATAGATCCAGAACAAAGAATATCTGTCGACCAAGCTTTACTTCACAGCTATATTAATGTATGGTATGATGCAGAAGAAGTTAATGCTGTATGTAATCATTTATTTATTAAATTACATATTACTTTTACAAAAATTAATTTTTATTAATTAAATTTTAGCCTGCACCAGAACCATATGATCACAGCGTTGACGAAAGAGAGCATACTGTTGAACAGTGGAAGGAATTAATTTATCAAGAAGTTATGGAATATGAAGCCCGTAACGCCAAAATTGATTCTGCTGATAGGCGGTAGAAAATTAAAATATAATTTTAGAAAAAAAAAATAAAATAAAACAAAACCTATATAAAATAGAATATATGTAATTTCAATATTAAAAAAAAAAAAAAACAAAAAAAAAAAACTTAAAAAAAATAAAAATAAAAATATATATAAAATATTTAAATAATCTACTATGTAAATAGAAAAGTAATTATTGCAATTGTGTATTAAAAGAATGAAGATTGAAAGAATAATGAAAAACAAAAATTTAATAAGAAAATCAAATCTAATTTGTTTGAAAATTTATGCGAAAATTAACAAAAAAAAAAAAAAAGAAAAAGTGAAACTCTATCTGTATCCTCCAGCTTCATGAAATTTAACATTTCTAAAAATAATATAAACAAAATAATAAAAATTTTATTTATTTTTTTTTATTTTTATTTTTTAAATATTTAATTTAGCTTATTGCTTGCTTTCTTTTTTTTTTCTTTTTTTTTGAATTTGATTCCTTTTTTCTTTTATTTTTGTTTTTAATCATTAACACTATAGAAGGAAAAATTTTAATTATCAGAATAGGATCAAAATGATATTGACAAAATTTTCATTAAAATTTTATTTTGTAAAAAAAAAAAAGGAAAAAAAATTAAGAATTATTAAAAATATGCAATGCAAACGCAATGTCTATAGATATAAATTTTAAGTATAATCCAATTATTATTAAATAACATACACATACATAATATATTATTTAGGTAAAAAATTTTAATTTTAAATTTTTATTTTATTTTAATTTTAAGTTTTAATAAAATACAAAACAAAACAAAAAAAAACGTCGATCATATCGATAATTTATTACTTTAAATAAAATATATTTATAATCTTTTATTGTTTGATTTTAAAATTTTATTCTCAATGAAAAATAAATATAAATATATATATATATATATATGGAGAAATAAATTTAAAAGTAGAATTTTTTTTTTTTTGTTTAAAATGCATTTGTTAGTTTTAACTTAAAAAAAAAATAAAATCTAATATAAAACTTATTGTTTTAAAAGCAATCAATTATTTGTTAAAATTTATTTCCATAAAATATTTTATTAATATGTATGCAAATATATCTTAGATACACTTAAATAATAAAAAACGAAGAAAAACAAAAACATCCTCAATTTTTTTTCAATTTTAAATTTAACTAAAATATTTTTCTTTTGTCCTCATGCTAAGAAATTTTCAAAATTTTTCTCTTCAATAACTATATTCTTAAAAAAAAAAATAAACCATACTGTAAATATTTTAAAATATTTGTTGCTTATACCCAGTCACAAATAATATAATCAAATAACAAAATTATCAAGTTAATAAAAAAACATTAATTTAATTAGAAATCAGAAAAAAAATTTATTCTTCTATTTTGCCGTACAAATTAATTGAATATTTTATTGAACAACAATCAGTTCGGTAATCGGAACATTAATATTTTTTAATAAGAAAAAAAAAGGGAACAATTTTTCGTATAATTCTTTGAAAACTTTCCTCCGGCTTAAATTTAAATGTCCTTTAATAAAAGAAACTTCGAAAATTAAGAGAAAAATTGAAAATTAATACAAAAAGATTTTCAAATTAAAAAAACATTTTAGATTCACTATGAACTATTTTGTTTGTTACATCAAAAAGCATTGGTTTTTTTTTTCTTCATCAGGATTATTATGCCTTCTTAAGCAATAAAATCATTAAAAATTAATGATTCGGAATTTTGAAAAATGTATTTTTTTATGTGAAATCATAATTTTAATTTTATATAAGTAAAATGAAAAAAAAAACATCCATTAATTATTTTTATGTTATTCTTAATGAGGAACTAAAGAATTTTCTTTAAATTTTTCTTTAACTAATTTTTATTTCAAAACAAAAAAAAATAAAACAAAAAGAAAAACTAAATAAATTTAATACTAACGAATTTCAAAGTCCAGAAAATTGAAAAATTTAAAAAATTATTTTCCGTCCATTTAAATTAAATGATATATAAGGGGAAAAAAAAAAGAAAAAAGGAAAAACATAAATAAGTATGGAAATAATTTTTTTGTTTTTTTTTTTTTGTTGGTATTTTTGTATTATTTGCGAAATATTGTTAAATTGTTTTTTTTTTTTTAATTATTTAAGATTTTTATGTTTTTCAATTGCACTTTTTATTAATTTTTAATTTGATCTAAAGAAATTTTTAAAGTAAAATGGTTTCAAAACTAATTAATATATATATATATATATATATATAAAAGAAAAACATCGCACAATTCATAATCTTTTTCTTTTTCTATATCTTATTCTTAAATACTTCTTCTTTCAAACTATATGCAGTTGATAATACATATATTATAAAATAATTTAAAAACAAAATAAGTCTTATATTTAAAAATATGACAAAAGCATATTCCTATTATAACATACATACATACATACTTACGTATAAAATGGTCTATATATTAAATTTTCAAAACAAAAATCAGCTCAACACCTTTCTTATTTTTTTTTTTCTTTTGTTTATGAGCATTTTATTAATTTTTCATAAAATAAATTTAATTTAATTAAATTTTTATAATAAATTTACGATATCAATAATCATAAATAATAAAAATGGAAAAAAATTTTTAAATTTTTTTATTTGTTTTGTTTTTTTTTCTATACTCCATGGTAATCCTTGTAAAATTAATTTTTTTGTAATTTTAAGTACACAATCAATTTAAATTCGTGTTATAATATTTAAGACAAAATAATTAGGAAGGACAGACAGGCTAGGCTGCCTTATTATTTGAAGAAATAATTTTGATAATTTGTTTTTTCGTATTTGTAGTTATTTCAAATTTTTTTTTTTTTAAATAAATTAATATGTAATCAAATTAAAATAAAAACAAGAAACAACGCACAATAAAATTTATTTTAAAATTTTAAAAATAATTGCTTCTTTAATTTAAAAAGAAATGCTTTTTTTTTGTTTAAATAGAAAATTTTTCAAATTAAATATTTTTTCTTTTTAATATTTTACATTTGAATTTGTTATTAATAAATTTCAATAATTTTAAAATTATATAATATATTATAAATAACTGTGATTTACTGTTTCTGAGTGTGTGCTTAAATAATATATTATTTTTAATTTTAAAATTAATAAATAAAATATTTTTATTTCAATAATTATTCAAAAATACGAGGATTTTTAAGTAATTCAGTTCTAACTCAGGTCTTACAAAGCACATTCGATAAATTAAAATTGCAAAATCGGTAAAAATAGCATGTTCAACAATTGTGCTTAGTTTTCTCTTAAGTGTGTAAATTAATTTTTTATAACAATTTTAAAAATATTATAAATCAGAAGAAGAGCAAAAATAAAGAAAAAAATTTTAGATATTGAACAATTACTTGAGTATGTTACAAATGTGCCAAAATATTCAATTTTTTGGCAGATTTGTAAGTTTGTGTAAAAAAAAATTCTATGAGAATTAATTTAGAACTTTGTCTATGCAGTATGTTTGAATTATTGAAAATCCCCTCTACACCATGGAGTATGAAAATACATGAAATAAAAACTTAATTTTACATTATTTGTTTTTGTTTTTTTTTTATTTTCTTTTATATTCAATAAAAATATTCAATTCAAAATTGTACACAATAACTAAATTTAGTTTATTTTAATTAATTTAAGTTGAATTTATTTTTTAAAATAAAAGATAAAATTTATTAATATTATTATGTATTTAATATTTATTTTAATTAAGAACTTTTTTATATATATACATATATATATATATATATATATCAATCAAACAAAAATGTGTAAACAAATTGTTGAGCTTTATTTTTTTTTTATATCCAAAGTATTTGTTTTATGAGCAATAAATTTAATTAATTAAAATATAAATTATTATATAATTACTTATATATATATATTTAAAAACTTTAAATAACTTACATTTAGTAATTACAAATTACTAAATTTTTTCTTAATTAAAAAATCTTAAAGAAACAAAAACAGTAAAAAAAAAAAAACAAATTATACCTAAACAAAAAAAAAAAAATATTTAAAGATAAAATGTAGATATTATGAAAAACAATGAAAAATTACAAAAAAAAAAAAAAAATTAAATAAAAATATAAAAAAAAAAAACAAAGATAAAATACACGATGCAATAATAAAATATTCTAATACATAAAAAGCTTTTATAAAATAAAATAAAAAAAAATAAATAAATAAATAAATTAGTATTGTAATAAAAAAAAAAACAAATGCTATATTATTACTTATAATGTGACTTTAAAATTTAGCTATAAAGCAAAAATAAAACATAAAAATTAACTTGCAAAACCATTAAAAAATAATTAAATAAAAATTAAATAAACCAAAATTTGCATAATATATAATAATATAATTAATAAACAGAAATTAAAAATAAATTTAATTCAACACACACTCACACACATGTACATTTATATGAACATATACATATATATATATTGATTGTATATATATATATATATATATATAGTTTACGTGGGTATCAACTCATATATATATAATATAATATATATATCATAGTATATTATATATATACTATGATATATATATATTATCTTATCTTATATATATGTGTATGATATATATATATATATATATATATATCATACACATATATATAAGATGTATGTGTATGATATATATATTTATGTATACATATATATATACATATATATTATATATATATATTATATACATATTTATATATAAACAAAAATTAAAAAGTTATTAAATTTAAATTTAGTTAAGACATTTTACCTGGTGTAAAACTGAAAATTAAAAAAAAAAAAAACTTATTTTAAAATTTAAAAAACAAAATGTAAGAAAAAAAAATTAAATAAAATAAAAATAGCGGCTGTAATTGTCAGTAGTTTGTAAAAAAAAAATATTTAATTAAAAAATATAAAAAGAGTATAATAAAACTATAAACAGTAAAATTCAGTATGAATTAACAAAAAAAAAACAAAAAAAACAAAAAAAAGTAAGGCAAAAGTCTCAGTAATAATTTAAAAAAAAAAATATATAAATTAAATAATGTAAAACAAAAGAAAAAAAAACAATGATTTTATTAATTTTACTTTGTAACTTATACGAAAGGAAATGAAAAAGGCAAAATAAAAACATTAAAAATATCATAATAATTACTTTTATTATATAAAAACAGAAAAAAAAAACAAAAAAAAAATTAAAAATAAACAAATTTAAATAATTAAGAATCTGTTTCATGATTCTTGAATTTTCAAAATAGAAATTTCAAACATAAAAAAAAAAAAAATTACATATAGAAGAACAAAATAAAAAAAAAAAAAAACAAGTTGTTAAAATTTAGATAAAATATTTAAATTAAGAAATACTATTAGAATCCAACCATATTTTGATAATTTTTAGAATATCTCCTAAAAATTATCAATTTCCGATATTCTAATCAATAAAAGAAAAAAAAAAAATTTAAATAAATGAAATAAAAAAAAGAAAAAACCTAACAACAATTATAAAAACTTGTCACAATAACTTTATAAATAAAATTTGAGTGAATTAAAATTTTTTAAATTGGTTTTCATTTTAAAATACATAATTATATAAAGGGGCATTTCAATAATTCAATTCTAATTTAGATCTTAATATAAAGCTGCTTCAACAAAAACAAATTGCAAAATCTTCACAAAAAAATAACATGTTCAAGTTCAAATTTAAATTATCGAAAATTACTTAACTACGCTATAATATTTTCAATGTACAAATCTATGTCCGAAAAAAATTTTTGATCTACTTATCATTTATTTGAGCTAAAATTTGAAATGAATACACCAACAGAATAATATGAAGAACATAACTAGTTAAAGTAGCTAATTTAGCTTGAATCGTTTATTCAAAATTTCTAAAATTTTCGTAAAATTTCAAAATTTCAAAATTTTCTTACAACCTCCGGGAATAATTAAAAAAAATATTTAAGTCTAACATAGCTAAAAATATAAATTTTGAAATAAAAACCTAAATGATCTTAAAAAAAATTTAAAGTCTTCATTGGAGTTGTAGGATTGTAAAAATATATAAAAGTAAACTTTACAATCTAATTAACTATTTTTGATTCTTAATTTTGCTATAAATTCATAGAGATTAAAGAAAAACAAAGAAGATTAAGAGTTATGCAAATTTTAATTTTTGCTCTTATGAAAATTGGCAATAACAAACTTTATCCGATTATTTCTTTTTTCCATATATTTGTAAAATATTTATCCCGCTAACATACTAAATTATGTATATGAATGCCCTCGGATGAGGACGCACAATAGATTCTTATACGTGATCGCGGTGCACTTTTGCTCACGTAGTACAAACCTACTAAATTATACTAAATTATTTTAAATAATAAAACTTAATTTTCTAGTATTTAATTCAGATATAGTTACATTTATATGAATTTTGCGTTTAACTATGCATTTCCCTGCAATTAATAGCAAATAACTAATATAATTTGTTAGCAGATATATTATACAGTTTTGTAAAAATTGCAAAAATTGTAGTCTGCAAATTCATTTAACTTCCAAAGCTGTAAGATATCTGAATTTATATATTAATTAATAAATTCATTAACATATCCGATTTTTTGGGGTTTTTCTTAAAATTTTAGTTTTAACTTTAATTTTCATACGAAGCATTTCCATTTTTAAATTACATAGAAAAACGTAACATATTAAAAACCTGAAAATGTAAATTATGTAGATAGCTCCTGTAGATTTGTAACGATTCAAAAAGATTTTAAGATTTAAATTAAGTGCATTGCTGAGTTTTTGGAAATTTCTTACTATTTATGCACTTACAGATTTTCATTTGTATTTAATTTATCTAGATAAACGATATTGATTAGTTAATTAGATAAAGTGAGCACTTATATTTTCACGAGATGTTACTAGCTCCAGTTAGTAAAGATTTGATTGAATAAGACTTGAAAAAACTTTATTATGTGAATCCAATAATGATGTGTTCGCATTTACTATGTATGTACTTGTAAATTGTTAAATTTTCTTAATAGAAAATCTGTCTTAGTACATATTTAGTAAATATAAAAATGATAAAAACATATTACATTACTTTAAATATTTTATTTAGTTTAAAATCAAATATAAAAATATTATTGCGATTGATTATACGCAGATTTCATCCTGACATATCCTTTCTTTTTAAATATTTTTTATTGTTTTGTTAATTCACTTTCTGTTTTGACTAATATTCATTCGTGAAACTAAAAACTTTCCTTTTAAAAAAAAATCATTCATTTCATAAAGTATATTGTAGGATTAATTTAAATTAGAGATAAAATGCTATAAAGGTGCTAAACAAAAAAAAAAATGTTATATCAATTTAGCCTTTATTCTGTTGGAATCAGTTTCTTATCAAAACCATCGAAGTATGGATGATCTAAAACCCGCTTGGCAGATATGCGATGAACTGGATCATATGTTAGCATTTTTTGTAAAAGGTCAAGTCCATTTTCATCTAAATGATCTACTTGATTTGTTAATTGATTTTGTGTCCAGCAAGGAAACGTTGCTTTAAAATCTGGAAGTCCTGTTACACCAGGCCAAATCTCTTCTGTCGGTGTACGGAGGATTCTAACATATACAATATTCATATAATTTCAATACTGAAAATTATAACTAATATGTACCTGAACATTCTAAAAAGCTGGTCGATTTCTGAATCACCTTGAAATAATGGTTTTCTAGTTGCCATTTCAGCGAAAATGCATCCAATTGACCATATATCAACAGGACAAGAATAACGTTGGGATCCTAATAAAATTTCTGGGGCGCGGTACCAAAGTGTTACAATTTCATGTGTATATATTCTTACTGGAATACCAAATGAACGACCTAAACCAAAATCAGCGACTTTTATAACACCATCTTTATTTATTAATAAATTTTGCGGTTTCAAATCTCTATGCAGAACTCTACGGCGATGACAAAATAGTATTGCATTTGTTATTTGATACACATAACTTCGCACCAACTCTGGATCCATCACTTTGTCAGACGGAAGCGAATCCATATATTTTTTTAAATCCATTGATAAAAATTCAAATATAAGATATAGACGATTTTCCTCCATTATCACATCTTCAAGTGTAACAATGTTTGGATGTTTGAGTTCTCTTAGGAGGGATATTTCTCTAAAATGCAACTATTGAAATTCAACAATCATCGTAAAACATTTTTCAATTACCTTATTGCGGTAGAAGGTATTCCCTCATCTTCGGATTCAAGACGAATCTTTTTCATGGCTACGATTTGTCCTGTTACCTTGTTTCTCCCTTTATAAACTACTCCATATGTCCCCTCACCAATCTTTTCAATTTTTTGAAAGTCATCCATTTTAAGCTTCATTAAAAACTTTATTTATTTTTCTATTTAAATTCATTAATAAATTTTATTTTTTTGATTGAATTTCAAATTAACTTAGATCAATTATATGAAATTATTATCGTTTACGTTAAAGTGCAATTTCAAAAATCTGTCAAAATTAGCGCTTTTGGCTTCTTTTTTAATTTTGATTTTTGAAGCGTGTAGGTAATCAAAAAAAAAAAAATTTTCAAATCAAAGTTGCCGTAATTCAAAAATACTCTTGTTACTTTTAATTATATCAGATGGCTCTGTTTTATTAAGAATTGACAGCAAAAATTTTGAAATATTAATTAGTTTGAAAATAAGCAAAGTATAAATAAAAATTAGAACTATGTATACATATTTTCGAAAACTGATAATAAAATTAATTTTATTTTTAGATATATGTAGATATACTTTAAGAAGACTGTCAAATTCTGAGCTCAAGGATATTTTCCGTTGCACTTCATTCCAGTTTTCTTTGAATTATTCTTTACAAATCTTGGACTGATATATTTGAAAATAAAAGCAAAAAAACCATTAAAGTAAATTTTTTATTTATCTAATATATTTTTTTATATATTTCATTTATTAAGTAATTATACTACTAAATTGACAACAGCGCCACTATCTTGCATTAATTTAAGTTTTTTAAAGCCGGGTGTGGTTGTGGTATAGGATTAATTTTTTTTGTTGTGTTTGTTATGTTAGAAAAAAGGTTTCTTTTTGTAAATTTTTGACTTTTTTCTTTCGTTTTGTAATTGTAAGATATGATTGCACATAACTTATTTATAATACAAATATATATGGCACTGTGTATAGACATACATGCATACGTATGTATATTGCAAACTGTTTTTAAACTAAATTTAAAGTTTGGACGGTTTTCAGAAAGATTAAATTTAAGGCGAAATGGCCACTTGGTGTTTTTTCTTCTTCTAAACCCATTGTATCACCTTGCTAGGAGAGTACCATCGAGTCTTGTATATAGACTTATCTGCCTATGTACTTTTATATTTAAATAAAACGAATTACTTTATCGGATTTTAAAAAATATAAATACAACTTAACCTTTATTTCGGGCAGATACTAGACTTTCCTGAAATGGTGGATGTAAAAGGAAAAATAATTCAAGTAGAAATAAAATTGTTTATAGCAATTCCAAATTATAAAGAGCCAATGTACTTATAAAATTTAATAAATATGTATTTGTTTTTAACTTTAACATTTTTTATTTTATTTTTAGTGTTTGAAATAGTTTCAGATAAATTTTCACTAACTAAAACATGGTAAGTTCAACTGACATTTTACCCAAAATAGACCTAATTAGGCGAAAAGCATTTTTAAAATGAATTTAAAAGTATGTATATGAACGTTCAAGTGTATATGTTGTATCCTTTAAAAAGTGGGCGAAGGACATGATTAAAAAAACAATGTAAAATGAATTAAATTTAGGGAAAATTAAACTGAGATGTAATACGAAAAACAATATGTTACAAATCGAAATGGTTTAATTCTGGGCTGATGTGTATATTGTTAATTTATAATATATTATGTGCACTCAGCGATTTTTGTGTGACTGTAATCTAATATTAAATATTTACCTATGTAGGTATATATATATTCATATATTCATAATCATCTATATTATAAAATTAGTTTATCAGTAACTTTTTGTATTTACTAATGTAAAGAATAGTATTGACTATAGATTGTAAAAATAATAAATGGTTAAAATTGAAAATCTTATCGTAAAAACTTTTTATATTTCGTATATACAATATATTTATATATATGTACACATAATATATGCATATAATTCAAGTATGTATATTATTATTATATTCTTAGGTTCGTATGGCTTAGCGCATTATTTTTAAAGTGAATTTTTCATTGTGAAATATTGTGTAATTTGTATACCATATGTATGTATATAGAGCGAAAGGGTTCTTTAAATTTTAAAAGTGCAATAATATTATGAATATTTAAGCAAATATGTATATATATTGGAGTAAGTAATATTTAAATTAATATAATATATCGAAAAAATAAGTAAGTGTATATGGATATAATTTAATAAATTAATAATGAAAATTAGATATTAGTACCATTAGTGCATGTGTACTTACGTACGTACATTCATGTATTGAAAAAATTCTTTATTTTAAATTAAGAAAAAATTTTGAATTAAATAAAAAATTATTTATTTATTTGCTGTAATAAGACTAAACCTAAATGATGGCAAATGTTATGAATATTGATGACCCGAGACTAAATTGTGACAAAAAAATAGATGAATTACATTTTAATGAAATTTCTTTAGAAGAAGCTATTAAAGACGTAAGTACATACATACATACATGCATATATTATATAAAATAAATTTAAAATATTATATATATGTATATAAATATTTTCAGGTGGAAATTCAACAATTATGTAATGACAACAAAAATTTTGTATTAAAATTGCAAGAATTATTAAAAAATTATAATATTACACCTAATTATGAATTAATGGAGAGTATAAATTTATTAAAACAATCATTTATTTATAAAGTTACAATTGATTATAAGGGAGATATAATATCAACTGTAGGTATTGGTGATTCAGAAAAACACGCTAAAAATATTGCAGCGGAAGCTTTAATCAATAAATTTACTAATTTATTTATTAATGATAATAAAAATATTGACATACAACATAACAATAATAATAATGCAATTAGTATAATTTCAAGCAATGCTTTGACAAATGAAACAGAGAAAAATTCAAAATCTTATTATATTTTAAAAGATTCACAATTATCTCTCTCAGCGGAAAAAATTACTGTCAACATTATAAAGAGTGTCAGTAATTTGATATATTATTTATAAAATATAAATCTTTAAAAAAATTTATATAATTTTTAGAATTTTTTTTTTTTTGTAGGATGATAAATCAACAAGAATAGAAACTTCCGAGGTATTCGAGAATATATCAAAAGTGGAACCAAATGAATATGTAAATCAATCTAATTCAATTTGTTTAGGACAAAATTTTACATTTTTTAAGAACTTATTCACTCTAGTAAGGCTATAATTTTAAAAATACTTAAAATTCAAATAATAATAAATATACATATATACATAAATATTTTATAGCATGACTTTGCTGATATACAAAATAAAAATTCAATATCATTATTACAAGAGTTATTAATTCGTCATAAAATTGTACCAAAATATGAGCTTGTTTATTGTAAAGGACCAGAACATTGCCCAAAATTCTGTTATCGTATTTCATTTTCTAATATAAAAAATTATATTGAAGAATTTGGATATGGTTATACAAAAAAGGAAGCTAAATATTCTGCTGCAAATTCTTTAATTAACAAAATATTTTTATCTATTAAAAATACTGAAAATAAAAGACCAGTTGAATATGAAATAAAAGAAGCTAAAATCAATAGTGGACCACATAAGTATATACATACATATGTATATTATATAGAATTTTTATAATTATTTTCAAAACTTCAAAATTTTCATATTATAAATGATTTCTTTATATTTTAGGAGGACAATGAATGAGAAATTAGACAAAAATGACAACTTATCTAATATGTCGGAAAACTATGAAAACGATATTAATACTAATGATAACAAAATAATATCCTTTGAAGAAAATTTAAAGAATTTTGCTTTAATGTGCAGAAAAGAGTAGGTTTAAACCACATAAACCATATGAATTCAATTCAAAAAATTTACCTGCATCTCTACATTTTTATATTAATCCTTATGTTTTATCATCATTCTGTTAATTCAATTAATTTATATGTACATGTACATGTATATACAAAAGAAGGATTCGTTCATTATTACAAATTTATCATTTATATTTTTACACAACAAATTTAATTGAATGATTTTTTTAATAAAAAATATACGATTTTAGAATTGAATTAAAAAATCATCATGGAAATCCAATAGGTTTATTACAAGAAATGTGTGTAGCAAAACGTTTTTTATTACCAAATTATGAAATTGTAGAAGAAAAAGGATTACCGCATTGTAAAGAATTTACTGTTGTTTGTATACTTGGAAAATATCGTGTGACCGGCTTTGGTTATCGTAAAAAAGATGCAAAACATAATGCTGCATTTAATATGATACAGAGACTAAAAGAAATATCTGAATCTGTAAAAGGTGTAATCGATAAAATAAAATGAGCATTGAATTATTTTGCATTTTAAATTGATATTGGAGTTAACAAAAGTATTATAACTTTGTTTACAACAGTATGCCTGCATTTGTAATGTAACCGACAAGTAATACAAAAAATAAGTACATAATTAAAAATCTCAATTGCTATATATATATATATATTTATATCTCTTGTTGATAAAAAAATTTCAATTGATTTTATTTTTTTGGGAAAAACGGAAAATTTTGAAGACAATAAATTTTATTTAATGAAATATCATTTAAATTAAATTTCAAATTTATATTATGAAAAATAATTTGCTGCTCAAGATATTGTCAACCGGTTGTATGCAAAAGTTGTACACGAAAATTGATATGCAAAATTATTTCGTAATAAATTGTTGATTGCCGATTGATGACCGTCAAATGTAATTGTTGTCGACCGGTATTTGATATTATTGATATAGATATTAATTGAAAAGGGTTATTAATTTGGTTTAATATAAAACAGACATAAGAATTAATAATTAATAATTATAAAATTTGTTAGAAGGAAAATTAAAAATTTAATAAAACTTTAGTTTGCTTTTCAATATTATTATTAAATGTGTGTAACTTAACGGTAGTCATAAATTCAAACGTGACATTATAAATTTCAATATACGTTGCTAACGCAACTAATTATTATTTTATTTTTTGTTTTACATTTCTTGTAATTTTTAAATTGAGATTGGATATATGATTAATAACAAATCTTTGACATACTGGAAAACAGTCTACAATATTAAAATTATTTCTATATTAAAAATTTTTAATAATTTTATAAATAAAAGACAATTTTCAGTATTTGTTCTATAAGAAATTTTCTATATATTATAACTTAATTATTTTTCAATTTTTTTTTATTTTTTTTTTAATTTTTTTTTTTATTTTCTTTTTAGTACATCAGAATATCTTAACTGTAAAATATATTCCTTAAAATTATTTAACAAAAGAAATTTTCAAAATTTATGTTTTTTGAAAACACAAAAAAAAAAAAAAATACTTATAAAAAAAAATATACATATATATAAAATTAAAATTATATAACTATAATAATAAAAACAAATTAATTGAGGAGGGAAAAATCAAACAAACATACATAAATATTTTATTATTGTATATATACATACATATGTTAAAACTAAATAATTGTATATAATTATATTTATTAAATGTTTAATTAAGAAATTATAAAATTTTTTCTTAAATTTTTTCAAATAAATTTTAAATAAATATTGCACGGCTTTTCTTTACACCATTGATTTAATAAGTATAAACTGTATATATGTATGTATGTGTACATTATAGTCAGAGTTTTATGGTGAATATCATTTATCGGCGATTTTTTTCTATACATAAATACATAGATAGGCTTAATACACAAGCTAACCATAAAATCTTAAGTAATTGTTAAATTATAATAAAAACTTTGGAATGAGTAACATGAGTAAATGAGAAATTTGGGAATGAATGACTTTTATTGAACTTAATTACATGACTAGTTACTATCAATCGTTAGGATCAGTTTACTTAATAATTAAATAATTAAATGATATAATTAAATTATATTAAATTAAAATATTATTTATTTTCTTAAAAAAAAAATCAAAGAAATTTATTTGAAAAAAAAAACAAAATAATCAATAATAATCGTTACTTCGCACTTCGTTACTTTTTATCAGTGAATACAAATGACGTGTCTCACCGAATACAATTTTTTACTTAAATATAAAATAATTATGCTATTCTTTTAATTATAAATAAATAAATAAATTTTTAATTAAAATTTCAAAATTTATGGAATGTTCGTTCTCTATAACATAAATATTTTGACTGTATTTAGCCTATGTAATCTATGTAATTATGTACGAGTATATATATATCCGATTCTTTTAATAATTACGTTATATATTAATTCCCATATTAAATGTATATTAAATTTTTATGATAAATTCAAAATTATAAAATTTAATTTAATAAATATAATTATATATAAGTCTTCTTTTTATTTCCAGCTCTTCTATAATATTATGCAAGTCTATTTTTATACTATCTATACTATATATAATAAATAGTAGAAATAAATTAATACATTTAATTTTTTTATTCGATAGTTGCATACATATATATAATATATATATATATATAACTTAACTATTATATATATATATTATTATATATATATATATATATATATTATATATATATATATATATCATTGTATATATATATATATATATATATTTATATATATATATATATATATATTTTATATATATATATATGTATACAAAATGTATATATATATATATATATATATATATATATATAGGAAAAACATATAATTTTAAAATTAAAAATACTTAATAAATTAATAAAAGACAATAATAATTAAAATTTAAACAGCGATACCAAAATATAAATTTTTTGTTTTTAAAATAATAAAATGGAAAATATCAAACAATATCACATAATTTTTTTTTTTTTTAATTTTTAATTTTTAATTTAATTTTGACTAAAGTTTTGGTTTAAAATTTTAATTTTTATTTTTTTTTTTTTTGGGTTTTTTTTTCAATTATAATTAAAATTTTTTTTTTAATTTTTTTAATTTTTTTTTTTTTGGTCAATTAAAAATTTGTTCTTATACATTTTTTTATTTTAAATATTAAAATATTAAATTATATTTATTTGATTTATAATGAAATATTGCAATCATAATTTATTTATTAATATATATTCTTAAATTGTATATATATACATATATATTATATATATATATATATATTATATATCATATATTATATATGTATATACATATATATATGTATACATGTATATATAATTATTTAAATGAATAAAATATCAAATTTTTAAAATTTTTCCTTTAAAACATTTGGAATATTATATAAAAATTAATATAATGTTATATATAGTAAAAATAAAATGAAATAAAAATAAAAACATAAAATTTAAGCATAAAAATTAGTTTTCTAATTTTGTAAAATGAAATTTGTTAAAAAATTTTTTTAATTTTCCAAACTTTATCTATCATATTATATATGATGCAGCAAACGTAGAATATTGTCTTAACATAATAGAGATTTTCATAAACGTTATATTGCAAAGTAATAAATGCGAAACGGAATATTGCAAATATATAACGTGTTAAATATATGCAATATATTTTTAACTATTCTTTATAACTTTGCTACTCCTACTAATTTTGTTATATTGCAAAAAATTGGTAATGCTCATAAATAAATTTGGTTAGCATTATTTTTTAGCATTATTTATATATATAGTATATCGTGATATATATATATATATATATCACGATATACTGCATTTATGAAAAGCCTTAATATATAAAAACATAAAAATGTCATGTCATTGCAATTCATATTATAATTTGTATAATAAATGCATATTGTTTTTAAATTCCAAATATAAAAATATTTGAAAAATAATAAATGAATAAAATTATTAATATAATTTTAATTAATTAATAAACCTTCAATTATGAATTATGAAGAAAGTTTTCTGAACTGTGCAGTATATAGAAAATTCATAAAATTTTAAGTTTGGAAAATTTGCCAATTTTTATAATGGATTCTTTACTCATAGTAATGAAAAATCAAAATAAAATATAACTTATTATATATATATAATATTGCACAAATAAAAACAAATTAAAATAATTTTGGTTTTTTTTTTAAATTAATTCTTATACATTATAGTTTTGTTAAAATAAAATTATACAAACATATCTTGGGAGAAGAACTCATACTGTTCCTATATTCAAAATATTTTATACTCTCCTCTTCTTTTATATTTTTTTTATAAAAATAATTTTATTATTTTTTCTTCTTTAATATTATTAATTATATAATAATTAAATGAAAGAAAGAATATAAAATTTATATAATTAATTATTTTATGGTAAATTTGTGATTCAATTGTCAAAGATTGAAATTTTTCATTTTTGTTTCTTTTTTTTATTTTTTTTTTGTTTTTTGTTTAATTCTTATTTAATAATTTAATAATTTTATATTCAATAATTTTTTTTTTTTTAGTTTAAATTCGTACAAAGAATATTCAAGTCCTGTATTAAATTTTAGGGTACAATTATAGATAAATAAACTGAAAAAAAAAATAAAATAAAATGTACAAATTATTTTAAAAATATCAAGTTTTAGTCATTTATAGTTGTAATTTGCCACCATACACATTAATGTCAGTAATGTCATTATGTTTCGTAGTACACGGCTGTGTTTTGATATATTTGCCATAAAAAAATGGCATCAAATGATTTTTATTTTTGGGTTTTATTACAAAATTTAATTATTTTAATGAAATGAATGTTTTTTTTGCCGAAGATTAAATCAATTTTCCAAAATTTATAGAAAATTTTGAAATTCATTTTAATTTTATCACTAGTTACAATCTGACAGTTGAGTTTGACATTATTCATTAGATTAATTGCCCCTTTTTTTAATAAATAAGAAATACGAATAGATCATTTGCCATAATTTTTAATAAATAAGAAATACGAAAAAATTGGCAATTTTATTTTCTTTGTTGTCAACTATGGGTGAAATCAAAAAGTAAACATAAAATGTAATAATATGTGAGTGTTACTGCAGTGTTGCCATAACTACCAATCAATTTGAATGAAATTACCATTACATTTCTACAAATACGAAAATCGTTTTACGAAAATCGAATTACATAGTAAGGTCCCTGGGGTACTACCTTACCATTTTTCCGAATAATCGTTTCATGAAAATCGAATTACATAGTAAGGCATCTGAATTATCAAAAAGCCTTAACTGCTTTATTAATTATTAATTATTTTTAATTGATATTCACATATAACGTAGAGAATATATTTTAATGATTATTGAAAATTATCATATAGCTATAGTATATAATTATGGTATATTAATTAACTTAAATTCGATATTATAAATTAATTTTTTTTTTT